ATTTTTCAATATAGTGGTTCCATGCACAATAAGATTTATTTTTATTTATTTGTTTCAGACATTGATATCCCGTCCTTCTCACCCTCATAGAGGGACACAGGGTGGCTTACAACCAGCAGCCATTAGATGCCAACAACAACAATAAAAACAGAGTTAAACATTAATTAAACCATCATCATAAGTTTAAAAGACCATTTAAAACAGACAAGTCCAAATCCAGAGTTATAATTCAAAATCCATCCATTGTCAATCCATTGTCAATCAGATTGGCTTAACTCTCTCATTCATGAATATCTTCCTTGAGAGTTACAACTGAGGGCAGGAAGGAAGGGAACGTGACTGATGAAATGAGGAAGAACAAGCAGTACTGTATAACATGCAAAGTTGTTTGTGAAATGAAGCCACTCCACCATGGCTATAGTTGCAAGAGTTTGCCTCTGAAACAGCAGTCACAAATTCCTGCAGAGAGGTAAGTTATTTTGTTCTGGAACTTTTCTCATTTAGTCATACCTTAGGAAATGACTAGTAAGCTATTCAAAGAAATGTTTAACAAACCTGCTCTGTTTTTTGTATTTAATCCATAGTATAAATGTGGAATATATTTATATAGACTTAGCATTTTGATCATACTGGTAAAGATGAGATTTGTTGTAAGGTTGTTTTTATTGTAAAACTATAGTGTACTATCAACAGAGTTGTAGTTAGAATAATTAGTATGCAAATTCTAATATATTACTCATAAGATTTTAAGAACAGCATTACTACTTAGATTTGGGGCTACAGTACAGGAGGTTGCCTTAGACTGAGTCAAACCATAGTTCATTGAGCTCATTGTTATTAAAACCAATTAACAGCAGCTGTCTAGGATTTCCAGCCAGGAGTCTATCTAGTTCAGTGGTTCTCAACCTTCCTAATGCTGCGACCTCTTAATGCAGTTTCTCATGTTGTGGTGATCCCCAAACCATAACATTATTTTCATTGCTACTTCATAACTGTTATTTTGCTACTGTTATGAGTCATAATGTAAATATCTGATATGCAGGATGTATTTCCATTCACTGGACTAAATCAGGCACAAATACCCGATACACCCGAATGTGAATACTGGTGGGGTTGGGGGGGGGGGTTGATTTTGTCATTTAGGCGTTGTAGTTGTTGGGATTTATAGTTCACCTACAATCAAAGAGCATTCTGAACTCCACCAATGATGCAATTGAACTAAACTTGGCACACAGAATTCCCATAACCAACAGAAAATTTTGGAAGGGTATTGGACCTTGAGTTTTGTAGTTGTAGTTCATCTACATCCAGAGAGCACCATGGATGGAAACAATGATGGATCTGAACCAAACTTGGCATGAATACTCAATATGCCCAAATGTGAACACCGGTGGATTTTCAGGAAAATAGACCTTGACATTTTGGAGCTGTAGTTGCTGAGATGTACAGTTCACCTGCAGTCAAAGAACATTCTTAACCCCACCAACAATATAATTGGGCCAAACTTCCCACAAATAACTCACATAGCCAACAGAAAATACTGTGTTTTCTGATGTTCCTTGGTGACACCCCCTTGAGACACACCCCCCCCCCCGAGGTCCCGACTCCCAGGTTGAGAAACGCTGATCTAATTCAATCTGCAGTTGTCAAGGATTACACCTGGGATTTTCTGAGTGCAACTATATGCTTTCCCTCTTTCCAACTCCACTATTAACTTGTTATAGCAGATTTTTAAAAAAACTATACTCTTATCCCATCCTCCTTGGAAATAGCTCGGAGTGAGGTACATTATCCCCCCTACACACACAGTCCTCTTATCACAATTCTGTTAAGTAGATTAGGCTTTGAAAAACAGGAGAGTACTCAGTAAACATTTGAGAGATGGAAGTAATGGGGATTTTAATCTAGGTATCTCTGATTCAATCACATTAGTTCAAGATGTTGTCTTTACTACAACTAAAGAATAAAGAGCTACTCTCAAGCATGTAGGGGGGAAAAAAGATGGGTTGGTTTTGTCTTTTAAAAAATCCTAACTAGCAGGGCTCCAATATCACAGAGTAAAACATGATGAAATTTGATAAAATTGGATTGTGTGTTCCTGCGTGAAAGGGGGTTGGACTGGATGGTCTTTCTGGTTTCTTCCAAGTCTATCATTCAGAAGCAGTTAATACAGTAGTTTCATAGAATCATAGAGTTGGAAGAGACCTCATGGGCCATCCAGTCCAACCCCCTGCTGAGAAGCAGGAAAATTGCATTCAAAGCACCCCCAACAGAAGGCCATCCAGTCTCTGTTTAAAAGTTTCCAAAAAAGGAGCTTCCACCACACTCCGGGGCAGAGAGTTCCACTGCTGAATGGCTCTCACAGTCAGGAAGTACTTCCTAATGTTCAGATGGAATCTTCTTTCTTGTAGTTTGAAGCCATTGTTCCGTGTCCTAGTCTCCAGGGCAGCAGTAAACAAGCTTGCTCCCTCCTCCCTGTGACTTCCCCTCACATATTTATATATGGCTATCATGTCTCCTCTCAGCCTTCTCTTCTTCAGGCTAAACATGTCCAGCTCTTCATACAAAACTGTGCCAGGTAGTGAAACCTACTTCATCCTCTAGTTTACAGATTGAAATCTGAAGGCACAATCTTGACACAATCACCATATGAACTAAAGACAGAAAATGCCTTCTTTAAGAATATCTGACATTAGAAAACATGCCTTCATATGGCTGTGTATTGTTTGGGGAAGTGTATACAACACAAATCTGCTCAGAAGAGGAATTGAATGTTACCAACCAATATGTATTTAAAAAGAAAACAAGCCCAATTGGTCAGAAAAAGTCCCTCTGGTTGGATTGCTTTAGGAAAAACAGAAGCAAAAGCAAAAAGATAAGTAGTGCCTTGAAGACTAACATGTTTTAGTTGTCACAAGCTTTAAAATGATAACAAAGGCTTCATTCTAATAGTTTAATACCAAATTAATGACTATGCCACCTAGGATTTAAGGCACTACTAAACTCTGTAGCTGTAGAAGTCCAGAATTCTCCCTTGCAAGACAGGGACAAGGATATAAAAACATAATTGCCTGACCCAAATCACCACTTCCCAGACCATCATCTTCTAAGACAGAAGTGTTGTTTTCATTATTGACTGCATTGCATGAATACTTACATGTCATAATTATGTGTTGCCAGTTTTATGTCCACTCTTACACAAGTTGTAAAGTATCTCCTGAACCTTTTTTTTCTTCTAATGACAGGGATTCAAAACATTACAAAGTTCTCAAAAGGATCACAAAACAACACACCATCAGTCCCTACCTGGATGTATTTGAAAGAACTGGTTTGGAATTTTAAAGCCCTGCACAGATCAGAATCTCAGGACTTGAAGGAGTGTCTCTTGTAACAGGTACATACCCAAATGCTATGCTGGGTCTTCATGTGACTTTCCATGTTTTTCTAAGGGCCCTTTCATTAGTTGTTAAATGCCCTCTCAGAGAGTTGATCTGGAGCTTTTTAAGTACATTTTTAGTATCAAAGACCATTTTATCTTTACAAAAGCTCTTTTAAACATTTCTTTTTAGCTTGCTTTTCATTTTTCCCTTTCTTGTTTTCTTTGACTATTTCTGGTCTTATAGTCTGCTTTAAAAAGATAACAAATTTTACTGATAAGTAACTAAAAACCCAGTGGTGCAGTGAGTTAAACCACTGAGCTACTGAACTTGCTGACCGAAAGGTCACAGAGTCGAATCCAGGGAGAAGGGTGAGCTCCCGCTGTTAGCTCCAGCTTCTGCCAACCTTGCAGTTCAAAAACATGCAAATGTGATTAGATGAAGAGGTACCACTTCTGTGTGAAGGTAATGACACTCCATGCAGTCATACTGGCCACATGACCTAAGAGGTGTCTATGGACAATGCCAGCTCTTCAGCTTAGAAATGGAGATGAGCACTACCCCCCAGTCAGAAACAACTAGACTTAATGTCAAGGGAGAACCTCCTTAAATAAAAAAAACTATTTACCTTCTGGTGGATAGGTAACAGGGAGGAGGCCAATCAGATCAGCCAGGGAAGGAAACCTACAATTTGGGAACAGCCTCCAAGAAGGCTTTTTCTTATACACACAGAATTTCCCAAGATGGTGGCGGGAATGAGAGAAAGCCCTCCTCCACATATCTTATGGGGAAATACAGGTTTTCAAATAATGTTGCTCCCAGTATTTTAAAGAGCTGGATTGTGAAATGAAATACATTTTTGTCTTACTTTATTTTGAAAAATCTTTTAAGGCTTACATTTCATTAAGTATTTCTTCCTCAGGATATTTCTGCACAATGAATGGAAGCTTCAACATCTCTAATGGGACATCATCTTTCTCTGGACAATGCCTGCGAGACACTCGGATAGCCCATGTGGTATTCCCACTCTTATACAGCTTTCTTTTCCTTGGTGGATTTCTACTCAACAGTTTGGCAGTGCTGGCTTTTTTCCAGATTCCAAGCACATCCAGTTTTGTTGTATATCTTAAGAACACCTTGGTTTCCGATTTCATAATGACACTTATGCTGCCATTTAAGATTCTAACAGATTCGGAACTGGGACTGTGGCAACTCAAAGCTTTCGTTTGCCGTTTTTCAGCTGTTGTATTTTATGAGACTATGTACATAAGCATAGTGCTGCTTGGACTTATTTCTGTAGATAGGTTTCTCAAGATCATTAGGCCATTTGGGAAGTTCTGGTTACATGATGTCACTTCAGCAAAAATTCTTTCTGGGTTTGTGTGGTTCTTCTTTTTCGGCCTCTCGTTGCCAAACATGATTCTGTCAAACCATGAAGCAACACCACTCTCTGTCAGGAAGTGTGCTTCTCTGAAGAGTCACTTGGGACTGAAATGGCACGAAGCTGTCAACTACATATGCCAACTGGTCTTCTGGACTGTGCTGATCTTAATCCTCCTGGTTTATATAATTATTGCTAGGAAGATTTATAGTTCTTACATAAAAACACAGGAGAAAGAATGTAAAATCAAACAACGAGCTAAGAGTAAGGTATTTATAATTGTGGCTGTTTTCTTCATTTGCTTTGTCCCTTTTCATTTTGCTAGAATACCTTACACCCTTAGCCAAACTGGTAAACGTATTGACTGCACAGTACAGAACCAATTATACATAGCAAAAGAAAGTACCCTTTGGTTAGCAACTGCAAATATATGTATGGACCCATTGATATACATATTATTGTGCCGCCAGTTTGTAGAAAAAGCTTTCTGTGTGAAATTAAAAAAATCTAGGAATACAATTCAAGAAAATCTGACTATTGCATTAGACACTGGAATATCTGTATAGATTTTTTTGACTGAACCTCTCCACCTTTCAAATTTGCACTATGATGTTGTCAAATGAAAATGCATATTATTTGAAAAATACATTTGCTGAAAAATTCTATTTTGTTAAAAATAGCAGTGTTAAGTTGTATATTATGTAGATGCATAGACTATTAAGAATAGTTTATTGCCGTGTAGTTTATGGCATCATATTGTGACAATGCATTCCAGATATTGCCCCTTACGTATAGTAACCTACCTAGATTTATCAAATCAATGTATATACAAAAATCTTGAGAAATTCTATTTCAATTTGTTCTACTGTCATGCTAATACCAAATTCCATCTGCTATTTCTAAATAAATCTGAGGAAGCTATAAATGTAAAATGGAAACTAGTGTTGGAAATAGATTAGATAAAGGTAAACAAACTGAATCTTAATGCAGACAAGACAAAGGCACTTGGGTCAGTTAAAATGTAGCTCTGCAAACAGATTCAGTGTGTGTTGGATAGGGTTATGCTTCCTTTGAATACTCTGGTTCTGGATTCAGTGCTTAACCTGAATGTTCAATTGAGGATGCAACACCAACTGCATGGCTCTCTTGAGAACAATGATCTGGTGGCCATGGTGATATATGACACAATTACTGCATTGAACATAACATGTTGACACCTTTGGGAAGCATCCAGACTTTGCTGGTGCAGAATGTTGCAACAAGACTATAAATCCAGTCTGGCTACATTGCCATCTTTTGGGAGTGCTTTGATTGTGTTTTCCTGTATTGTACAGAATTGGACTGGATGGCCCTTATGGTCTCTTTCAAGTTTATCATTCTATGGCTGTATGATTCTGCACTATCATCGCTTTGCTGATTACTGACCCGTTTCTGGGTACAGTACAAAGAGCTAAATACAATCTATAGGTTTTATATGACTTTCAACAAAGTTGTTTAGGAGGCCCTGGTGCTATGCTCTCCCTGGATTTGAACCTGCGACCTGTCAGTCTTCAGTCCTGCCGGCACAGGGGTTTAACCCACTGTGCCGGCAGGACTGAAGACTGACAGGTCGCAGGTTCAAATCCAGAGAGAGCATGGATGAGCTCCCTCTATCAGCTCCAGCTCCTCATGTGGGGGCATGAGAGAAGCCTCCCACAAGGATGTTAAAACATCACAACATCCGGGCGTCCCCTGGGCAACATCCTTCCAGATGGCCAATTCTCTCACACCAGAAGCGACTTGCAGTTTTTCAAGTTGCTCCTGAAATGACCAAAAAACAAAGTTGTTAGAAAAATTACATTCTTCCCATACATGTCTGTCTGGATTTTTCACAGCCACTGGAAGCAACTGTGAAGGGGACACAAGAGAGACTTTTTGTGATTTTCTCAACACTCTAATATACCTTAATAGGGCAGGGTATGTTCCTTCCTTCCTGAGGCAGGAAAGAAAGTTCTATTGAAGCATGATTATGGCATTTAGATTCATATTTTACTGTTGTGCTTTTAATGCATGGTTAGCTCTCAATATCTACAGGTTCTGAATCCACAGATTCAGCCAACCATGGCTCAAAAATACATATTTTTTTAAAAAATTCCAAAGCAAACATTGATTCTGCCACATGCCAAGCACTACACTAATGTGTAGGTATAAGCTGTGGTAGCCTCCTGCCATCCCACAGAAACTCAGGCTCTCTAAAATGCATGAGTAGCCTGCCTTTTTATATAAGGGATGTATAAGGGTTAGGGTTATGCTTCCTGTGAATACTCTGGTTCTGGATTCAGTGCTTAACCTGAATGTTCAAGGATACAACACCAACTGCATGGCTCTCTGAGGAACAATGACCTGATGGCTATGGTGATATATGACACAATTACATCTCACTTGTGTTACTGCATTTAATCTTACACGTTGACACCTTTGAAAAGCATCTAGACTTTGCTGGTGCAGAATGTTCCAGCAAGACTATGTCATTGCAATTGATATCCATGATGGCCAAGATTGGAAGAGTGCTGGAAACAAACAAGGGGCCACTGAATTTGCTTTAGTATGTTTTTATTATACTTTTGTTACTATTAGTTGCCTTCAGAACCTATTTTAGTAGAAAAGCATAAATTAGATATGGTAGGTCCTCCTCTTTCACAGGGGACCCTGTGAAATGGGGGGGGGGGGGCAGAATAAAAAGTTTTTTTCCCAATTTCTAAGAATCACTAGATTACTCAAATCCTCAGAAGCTTAAACCCACAAAAGTGGAGGGCTGACCGAATATGAGATCGTTTTTCAGATTCCCTCACCAAATCAAACTAAAGGGGCAGCATCCAAAGAGAGGGGCTTTTCAGTGGTTGGTAACACACCATCTATAGAATACTTACTTCCAAATACTTGTCTGCACTTATGCTAAGTTGAAAATGCTACAGAGCTGCTATGCCTTTCAATAGTTAATACTTCCTAGAGAATAAAGCCAAAACATAAAGTTTTACCAGGCAGAACTACTTGGTCTCATTTGTTTCGCAGCTCTCCCAACCAATTGTTAATCATTACCTTCTCCCCTCAACATTGCCATTTATTGGTTTGTTGAAAGTAGGGCAGAGACATCACGAATTTGACTTCAGGCTGTGCATCCAGCTGTAGGAACACAGATGGATGTTTCTGTGCCACCTCCAGGATCTGTTAACTATTAAATGTACAGAGCCCTGTCCCATATTCAACTTGGCAACTTTAGTTATGGTCTTTTAAAAACCAGATGAATCAACTGTTGAATGCCCCTGGCACTCTAAGAACTGTTTTAATACTTTTAGCTCTTCCTGGTCATCCATTTTGATGTGAGTTTTATGTTAGTTTTATGTGCTGTAGAGATTTTTTTTTCTGCTTCTGTCTTCATCTTGGTTAATTATGTGTTGTCTCTCTAGTCACTGATTCATTGTTTGGATATTTTTTAAAATGCATTTTACCAATTTAACTAGAATACTCTGGTTATTGAACGGTTTACAAATTTAATAAATAAAGTATCAGCTGATATAATTTATGTATGGCATACTTTATAAAATGACGCTACTTTTTTTTTTACTCAGAGAACAGCATACTCTCTGAAAAGCATACTCTCTGAAAAGTTGTTTGACAAAGGACTGATGCCTCAAAATTATATATGTCTTATTTTTATAGATGGTGTTTGTGTTACAGTTATTTGCATGAAAAACAAGCAGAAAGCTTAACCACATGAAAAGAACCACTTCAAAAGAATAATTGTCACTTCCAGCAAGGAAGCTTTGCTAACAAGCAATGTGGTGGCTGTAGAGTAGCCCCTCCACATTTTCAGGTTTAGTGCAAGACCCATGAAAAAGTGGAGGGGATGCAAATTTTGTAACACCTCGTTCACCAAAGTAAAAGATATTTTATGCACTTGCTGTCTTTAGAAGACCAGGGCTGGCTGCTATATATGCCCACCTCTGCATAAGACCTGCCTTTTGATTGAACAGCCCCTTTCTTTCTTAGTTGGGCAGCAGTACTGAGTAAATGGGGCTGGACTGTGACATCTACCCTGCCTCCTTCACCCAGCCTCACTTAATTGGCCATAGAGGCCATCACCACTCTGCTCTTCTTTGCAGGGAAGTATCCAAGTCCAGCCACCATTGTCCTCTGCCCTCCATCATCTCTGCCCCATTTTCGCCCTCCTCCTATGCACAAGCAGCAGCACCAGGTCAAGGTCTTTCCATGAAGGAGAAGGTTAGGGCTCCTCACGCATTGTGCTCCATCAAAGATGTTACCCAAATGAGGAGCATTGAGAAGGAGACTCGCTGGATGCACAAAGCTCCCCAGGAATTGTCTAGTCCTGTTCTTTGCTTCTCTATTTTGGTTGGGCTGGCTGGGAACTGGTGGATCACTTGGGGATGTGGCAGTAGTGTCAATGGAGTGGTTTTGGGATGAGGAGTCTGGCCTTCTGCTGCCATCATGGAGATGTTGGTCAAGGACGTAGAAGAATGGTTTTGGACACTTTCTCATGAAGAACTGACCCTGATGGCATGGCAACAGCTTCTGTGTCCCAATTAACAGGCAAGGATGCCCGGAGGCGGGGGAGAGAAGCAGGCTAGGATGGTTTCCACCTTCACTGCTGCCCTACATCAACTGTAATAGAGATATACAAGACTTATTATGCATTTGCTTTTCCCTCTGTCTGTTAAAAATGGCAAAGGGTAGCAACAAAAGCAGTAGCAAATAACCTACAAATAATAAAATTTGGAAAAGTTAAACCCCTGAAAGTAAAGGAACTACTGGATGTAAGTGTAATTTAAAATGAATTATCTAATACTGTTAAGTCAGATTCTTTCAGCTCCCCATGTATCTCACCAATTACACGCTGAAAAGTAATGCTATGGTTTCTCCTTTTGCCTCTTCAAATATGGAACATATATTCAAATAAAGGAAATAAAATTCAGATATAACGAGGTCTATGAGATAGACATAATTAAAATAACTGAGTCATAGTGCTGATAGAAAAGTGCATATAAATTAATTAAAGAAATAAATAAATATTTGAATAAAGAAATATTCAGTGGCCTTTGGAAAACTTGCAGACTTAAAAAATACACTCAAGTTGCATAATAAATGACTTTCAAATTCTACATGTGTCTGCTTGGCAATCTCATTTTGATTACAAATCCATCAAAAATTAAGAAAGTTTGGTAATATGTAGATAAAGTCTTCTGCCTGTAAACATTTATTATTCTTTGGAATAACTCTTTGTACATGTAACGATACACTCAAATACAAGTCCTTGCTGTATGTCATATGAATACATATACCTAACAAAAATAAGTGTTAAATTACATGCAATTATTGACATGCAAAGGACATAAGAATTTGCCTTGTGATTCAAGAATTTGATTCTATGTTGAGAACGTAAAATGAACCAGAACAAAATAAGGACTACAGATGAAGGGTTTATGTTGTGTGGTTTTGATGAAGAAATCTTTGGCTTTTGCTTTTTGCTTGTGATTTTTACTTCCTATAATGGTTTTTTTCCTGTCCAAATTTTAAATAAATTTTGACCTCTGGTAAATTCTCACAAATAATAATGAACAAAATTCTAATTCACTTGTACTAGTCACATTTAAGAGGCACAGCACAGAGAGGGTCACACTATACCTGACTGGCAAATTGATTTTAAACATGAGCAAAGCCTGTCAAAACTCAGATTTTGTCCTCCTTCTGAATAAGGCAAATGCCAGTGATTTTATTTACTCTGGCACAAGGTATTGCTTGAAG